CTATGGAGGTCGACCATTTGCTCCAGTGGGCGACCGCAGGTACCTAAAACTCTGCGCCTAACCTCAGCATTGCTCGTCCGGCTGCCTCACCAAATTCGTGAAATGCTGCGTAGGCAGTGGTGTTTAAACACCGATAGTCCATCTTTATCCTGTCTTCTCACTGGCCAAGTTTCTATGTCATACAGCTACACTGGCATTCAAGCTGTCATCAGCATCATCGTACAGCGAGATACAGTGAAGCGAGCTTCACTGATCTCTGCCAAGCTTACAATGTACACAAATCAGATGATAAAGCACAAAATGGAAAGGGATTGGGCCTACTTGGAGAGAGGTAAAGAAAAATAATCTCTATGTTCAACACACAGAGTACACAATCTAAGTGTGCATACATACCTTTTCAAGCATTCGGACTTAATAAGAAATGACAAATGCCGATGACATCACCTTGCTGATTAACAACACACAGGTAGTCCAACAGGCTTTGAACCGCTTGGCGGTCGATGTATCCAGGTATGGTATGTGCTTTGCACCTTCCAAGTGCAAAGTGCTTGGTCGAGACTGGCAGGAGCCTGTGCCTGCACTCATCCCCTGTGGTGACTAGCGAGAAGTAGTTGAGAACTTTAAGTACCTCAGGAGCTTGATCGCAGCTGGCGGTGTTGAGATCACATCACGAACATCGAAAGCTAGAGCAGCTTTCGCCAACCTGCGACACCTGTAGCGCCGCCATGACATCTGACTGCCCCTAAGGGAAGGGTTTATATCCCCGCAGTTCGTAGCGTTCCACTTTACGGTTGCGAGACCTGGCCCCTCAGCGTTGAGGATGTTAATCGACTTTCTGTATTGGACCACCCATGGCTCCGAAGCATCGCTCGTGTCTAGTGGGAACACCGGGTGAGTAATGACAAGGTTCGTCGTCGTGTGTTGGGTGCGGATAGTAGTTCTCTAACAGAAATAATCGCTCTACACCGCCTCCGGTGGTTTGGTCACGTACTGCATATGCCTGCCCATCGACTACCTTTTCGTGCTCTCTTTGCACGTGCCGGACAAGGCGGGAAGAAGCACCGCGGTGGTCGCGGATAGGGGAACGGCCGCCATCTAGCGGCTAACCGTGAATAAGGTGGGCTTCGGCCTACCGAATAAGCGGTCGCGGACGAGCAGCGGCAGCGTTCGAGGATGTGGTGAGTTTACTCCTGGCAAGGGTTCTCCGCTGAAAACGCCATATACATCTGCGGACAGCGCTGTGACGTGGCGAGTGTGGCCCGCCACTAAATATGGTCATGCCCCTTGTCGGGATCCATTGCTCGACAAGGTTTTCCAGAAGAGGCAAATGAACCGACGACTGGCCACCGGCTCATCTGGAACATCACTGCTGCCTTGCAGTCCACGCTTGGTTGCGCAACGGCTAGAGTGCATCCCCGAACAAGGCCTACTCTGGACTGGGCGACCGAGTAGTACAATAGCCCGCAACGCACACAACTATGAACTGTTTTGATCTTCTGACCATGTATTCTGATCATTCTGATCATTGTATTCTTATACATCTGTGCGGCCTTCGACTCTGTCGATAGAACCGCACTATGGAAATATTTGCTGAGGAATGGAGTACCCGAGAAGTATGTGTTGATCCTCAAATAGTCGCATCAGTTTCAGTTTGTACAACCATTAACCATGCACTATCGTGTGCCGGGTTTGGTTACTGCCCACTGGGATGAACATTAGGAGAAAGGCAGAAAAGGTTGAAAGTAGAATCAAAGAGAAAATTTAGAATTTCAGTGAACCAATGGTGCAGAGAACTTGACAAGATGCCACTGTTTACGGCACTCAACCATATCAATCTCTAACCTTCCGGTACGATCATCCCGGAGTCCCCAGCCAGGGAGCCTAACGGGACCTATGTGACACATTTTCCTGGTTACCGTTTTCATACCCTCATGCTAGGTCTTCGTTTGACCACCCTTGGCTTACATCCACCCACTACCTGCCTCGATGAACATCGCTCGCCGTGGCAACCTATCTGGTGACATGCGTAACACATGCCCCAACCACCGCAACCTATGGAGGTCGACCATTTGCTCCAGTGGGCGACCGCAGGTACCTA